CTGAATCTTTACAGAATCAGTGTCAAAGAAGTCAGCATTACAAGGGCATTTTTCTTGCTATCACATAAGTAAATGTTAGCCTCAAACAAATTAAAGTTTTGTGGGGTGAGGGGCTGTGCCTCCACGTCCATCATCTGCCAGGAATTCCACCTGAACAGCGCTGTAGAGGCTTCATTTCAGATTCCCATCTTTTAGGGATCTGCCCAAACATCTCTGGAGAGGCAGAAGTGCTGCAAGAGCTGTCCAACAACCAAACATCCCAGCTGAGCTCCCCTGTGACAGCCATCAAGCACTCCAAAAAGCAAATATTCCCCTCAGCAGCTCAGCTCCAAAGAGCTGCTTTAATTACTGCTTGTTTTTAAACAGGCCTGAGCATGATCCCACATGCTTTTGTTACAGTTTCACGAGGCAACACGGTGACTTCAGGTTATTAACAGGGATTATTTACTGCCCGTGTTTATTCCTGGCTCTGGGTGATGGGATCTCACTGGGCATGGAAGGGATTTGTTTGTCTGGAAAGGTTTCTCTGTTCCACAGCAGCTCCAGAATTCCAAGGAAACTATCCCAAAGAGGTTTGCCAATGTTGTGTCTCTCTCCAAGGTCAGGATCACAGTGATCATCTGCAATGATTGACTCCCTGTTTATAATCCATGTCCTCTCACTTTCCTGGGGTAAGGTCATGGCAGATTTAGCCAATTTCCTTGCAAAACAACATTTGGGGAAGTGCAATAAAAGAGGATCCTGTAAATGCTGATGTGCTTGGGAGTTTCTGTGCTTCTCTGTTTCACAAGGGGTTTTTTCTGTGTGGGAATGTCTGACACTGCAGAAGTATTGGTTTGATACAGAAAAAACACCCAACTGAATTAAATGGGGCATTAAAGGTGAATTTACACCATCAGCCTTCAGGCTGGAGGAGCCTCCAAGCAGCAGCAGCAGAAGTGCTGATGGATAATTCACTGGAGAAATGGGAACAGCAGCTAAGAGAGCTCTGAAACTTCCTGGTGCCATTTCAACTGTGCAGGACCTTGGCACACATTTAAAACCCAACAGAAAAATACACAAAATAATGCAAACAGCAGCAATGAGCTTGGTTTTGGCCAGAAGGCCTTACCAGACCTTCCTGGATGACTTAAATATTGTCCCTTAAAAGTCAAGTGCTGGGGTGACCTAATTATGGCCTTCCAGTACCTGAAAGGAGCTACAAGAAGGATGGAGAGAGAAAATTTGCAAGGGCCTGGAGTGACAGAACTGCTGCTGACACAAAACACAAATATTTCTTTTTGAAAAAAAATCCTATTTGTGATTTAAAAATAATCAGAAGCCTTCAAACCCAAATTTTCCTGGAAAAAATGAGCCTCACTAAATCAATACCCATATTTTATTCCTATAGGTAAGGTCAGTCCAGCAATGCATTAAAAGGTGACCAATTCTTGACTTATCCAGCAAAATATTTGGAGAGTAATGAAAAATAAATTCTTGGGATTAGTTATTGAGAATAAATTCCAAATCAGTTAAATTCAAGTAACAGAACTTGTTCATAACTACAACAAGATGGTGAAGTTAAAGCTGGAAAAGTTGCACAACCAAATAAAGTGAATTTTGTCCAAATTCACTGTATTAAATTACAGTCAGCTGGTAACGATTGTGAGCCAGTGAGGTCTGGTGCATACAGGGGATATAGAAATCGCCTCCAAATATGAAACTAATTAGGAATAATTGGCCTCTAAACAAGCACTTGATGTATGAAAAAGAAAATGCAAACCTCAGAATGCTTTTTAGAGCCACTGCCTGAACCAAGCCTCGTTTCCAGTTCCAGGGATCCAAGTCAGCTGAGGCAGAAGCGGGATGCAGACCTCGGGAGCTTCCCAGAATGTCCTGGTTCCTACAGGGAACAGAGAAGGGGACAGGGAGAGAGGCTCTGTGACACGGAACTGGCACCAGCTCTGTCCTCCTGGGCTGCAGCAAATGAGGGGAAAATACTGCAAAGGACAAAACCCCCCTGCAGCACAGTCTAATTAACCAGAATCATTGAATCCCAGAATGGTTTGGGTTGGAAAGGACCTTAAAGCCCATCCAGAGCCATCCCTGCCATGGCAGGGACACCTCCCACTGCTCCAGGCTGCTCCAAGCCCAGTGTGCAGCCTGGCCTTGGGCACTGCCAGGGATCCAGGGGCAGCCTTCTCTGGGCACCTGTGCCAGGGCCTGCTCACCCTCCCCACCAGGAATTCCTAGTTCCCAATATCCCATCCATCCCTGCCCTCTGGCAGTGGGAAGCCACTCCCTGTGTCCTGTCCCTCCACCCCTTGGAAATAGTCCCCTTCCATCCTTCTTGCAGCCCCTTCAGATGAGGCCGCAGTGAGGTCACCCCAAAGCTTCTCCAAACTGAGCAATCCCAGTTCTGCAGCCTTTCCTCCCAGCAGAGCTGCTCCATCCCTCTGATCATCCTCGGGACTCACTCCAGCAGTGGATGCATCCCTCCAGGTCAGGTAATTCACCTCAGCTCCTTTGGTTCAGCTCTGACACACCGCAGAGCTTCATTTCACTCAGAGCCTGAAGCAACCTTGGCTCTTGGAGGATGCATTTCCAGCTTTTAAGGGTCCAAAACCCTCAGAGCTTAAAAGAAATACATTTCCTAAATGTTGTGGAAGCACAAAACCTTGTGCTTGTACACATTTACAAACATGCCCCAGCCTTGACCTGGACCTGTTCAGCATCTGAACTTCTGTTTTTCCCGAGTCAAATTGTTTTGTAAATTCAGACCAACGGCAGATTACGGCAGCGTGACCTCTGCAGCAGAGGAGGAAACTGCCCTGGGATTGTCCCTGCTTTGTCACAGGGGTTCAGTGCCCTTGTCACTCTGACTCTGGGTTACGCACAGCCCTCGGGAGGAAGGAAACTGCCCTGTCACTGGGACAGCAGGAAAAGGAGGAGAACGCCAGGGGAAGGGAAGTGCATCCAAAGTCAGGGATGGGGACGGCGCCCCAGGCTGCGAGCCTGGCAGGCTTTTTGTGACAAGCCGCATTTAGAGCCTTTTACCTCTTTTTAAGAAACACAACACTCCCCTACGATCGAAGGCACCGAAGCTGCGAGTGTGAAACCCCTGCGCAGGGTGGGTTTAACTCCTTCCCTGAGCAGCGTGAGCAGGACAAGCCGCTCCCACCCCACCCTGCCCGACATCCTGCACCCAAGGCTCCTCACCGGCCATCCCTGCTCGCCTTTCCATGGATCGGCGCTTCCTGCGCTCCCACGGGCTCCTCGGCGCTCGTCCCACACCCAGGCTGCCGCAGGAAGGGCAGGAAGGGGACAGCGGGACACAGCTGGCACTGCCCGACCCCTCCCAGTGCCAGCCGAGGGCAGCCAGCCGCTGGGTTCCAGTCTGAAAGGGACATCAGCCTGAAAGGGACATCAGCCTGAAAGGGACATCAGCGCTGCCCCCACTGCGAGGAGAAAATGTTGGTTTCTTCCTGAAAAATATTGGAGACAAACATGGCATGTGTCCCAGTAAGGAAAAAAAGAAATCATTCTTCAGGTCCAGGTCCAGGTTGCTCCAAGCCCCCCAGCCTGAACTGTTAATTACAGAATCTATTTCAGGAGGGAAAATAATAATCAACAAATTCAGGAAAATTAGCTGGGTGGTATAAAAAAAAACTGTAATAAAGAATATTATACCTTTACGGTAATAATTTTTTTCCTCACTTAGGAAAGCCTCAGAAATACTAAATTTCTAGTTCTGTGAAAAAACATTCCAGTAATAAAAAGAGACTTAAAGCTCCACAGGAGACAGTTTGAGTCCTTAAGCGGAGTTTTGATTTACTTCTCTGAGGTCCCAGCCCAGAAACCTGCCCCAATGCTCATGCAGAGCACAAAAATAGATTCCCAGCTGCACATACAAACCCCTGTCTGCTGGGATGGTAATAGAAGTCATTAAAAATCAGCTTTTTTAACACAGGAAGTGCTGCAGTCTTTTACATTTTACCACATTCAGTCTCTCCAAAGGACACGCTTCCAGAAAGAGCAAGGCAACAAGCCCACTTGTATCCCAAACATAATTTTAAGGGAATCTGGCTGCTCTCTCTGTTGATTTTCTTCATGTTACCAAGACATGACTATACTGGCTCCAAAAACTTCACTAAGTGAGATTTGTCCCAGAGATGAATGCTTCTTGTGCATTATACTTGGAATATTTCAGCTGTGTCCCAGGCAAAGTGTGTCATGGTCTGAGCGAGGCTCTGGACTTTTGGGAGGTGTTGAGTTGTGGTAACGCTGAGAAGGAGCTAAGTGTGTTTTTCCAGCCATTACCTGTGTGTGCTCTGATCTGTGTCAGGACTGCACATCTGGCTCGAGCTGCAGGCTCCCTTCAGACAAATCCTGTGACCCTCAGTGCCCCTGGCTCCCCTCAGAACCCCCAGTCCTGCTCAACTTCCAGCACCTTTCAGTTCACCCTGGCTCCCAGCCCTCCTCGAGCACCCCCAATCCTCCTCACCTCCTCTCAGAACCCCGTATCCCCCCTGAGTCCACCTGGCTTCCCTTAGGACCCCTCAAATCCCTCTGACCCCCCAGAACCCTATGTCCCCCTCAAGCTCCTCTGGCTCTCCTCAATTCCCCCTAGCTCCCCTTAAAACCCCTGGTCCCTCTGAAGTGCCCCTGGCTGCCCTCCAAGTCCTCAGTCCCCCTCAAATCCTCCTGGTTCCTCACAGAACCCCTGGTTCCCATCAAGTGTCCCAGGCTCCCCTCATACTGACACCCCTTAAATTCCCCTGGCTCCCCTCAGAACTCTCAGACCCCCTCAAATTCCTCCAGCTCCCCTCAGAAACTTCAGACCCGCTAAAATTCCCATGGCTCCCCTCAGAAACCTCAGACCTGCTCAAACCCCCGGCTCCCCTCAATACCCCGGTCCCTCTCAAGTCCCCCCAGCATTTTCAACCTCCGGGTCCCCGTAACGTCCCGGTTCCCCTCAGCCCGCGGGGCTCTGGGGTGGGAGGGCTGAGGGAAGGGGAGTCGCCGCCGGGCCGGGCCCTCCGGCGGGCGCTGGCAGCGGGCGGAGGGCGGGCGGGAGCAGCGGGCCGGGCCCCGCTATTTGTACGGGAGCGGGGCCGAGCCCGCCCCAGTGCCCGCCGCTGCCCGCACCATGCCGGGGCTCCGCGCCCTGCCGGGGCTCCGTGCCTCAGCGCCCGCCCTCCTGCTGCTCCTCGCGCTCGTCTTTGCCCGGGGCAGCCTCGCCGTGCAGCAGCTGCAGCCCGGCACCCGCTCGGCCGCGGCGGCGGCGTGGGTGGCCCTGCAGTACCGCAACTTCCAGGCGGGATCCCTCGGCGGGCTCCGGGCGCTCGGGCAGGTCCGCAAGGCTACGCTGAAGGTAAGCGGGGAGCCGGCGGGGCGTACAGGGGCGCTGGGAAAGTGTAATTAACAGTAATTATTATATTAGTACTGTTATATGTAACTGAGCTGAGCGCGTCCCCACGCGGGGTACCGGGCGCCTTCCCTTGAGAGCCGCCGCTGCCCCATCCTCGGGGACAGCCGGGTCCCCGCAGGGATCGCTGTCCCCTCTCCCCTTCCTCAGGGACCCCTGGCTCTCCTCAGGGACCGCTGTCCCCTGTCCCCTTCCTCAGGGACCCCTGGCTCTCCTCAGGGACCGCTGTCCCACAGCCTCGTCCCTCGTGGGACCCGTGGATCTCCTCAGGAGCTGCTGTCCCGCAGTCCCTCCCTCACACCTTCATCTAGAGCTTCATCTAAAAGCAGTGCGGTTCCGACCAGAAAATACACCGTAATCTTCCAAAAGTCACATGGAATTGAGGTGGCAGAACAGGACAGGAGTCCCAGAGAGGAGCAGCTACAGGGACAGAGCCTTCCCGTCACGGGGAGCTTACCGGGGATGCTCGAGGTGCTACTGGGGTACAGTCCTTCTCCTCCTCTAGGTTTCGGGGGCTTTTTACAGCTTATTCACTTTCTGAAAGTACAGGATCAGGCAAAAACTTCTGGGGAATGTTTGTCCCGGGCTGTAGATCCTGGAAGGAATGCATCACCTTCCTGGAGAGCCAAAGGATGGGATTTAAATCCAGCCCTGTGCTCCTGCTGCTGGGCAGCTCTCGATAGCAAAGGCTGCTTGTTCTGGTTTCCCAGAACAACAGATTCTGGATCCTGGATTCTGCTGGGCAGCTCTTGATAGCAAAGGCTGCTTGTTCTGGTTTCCCAGAACAACAGATTTTGGATCCTGGATTCTGCTGGGCAGCTCCTGAGAGCAAGGGCTGCTTGTTCTGGGTTCCCAGAACAACAGATTTTGGATCCTGGATTCTGCTGGGCAGCTCCTGAGAGCAAGGGCTGCTTGTTCTGGGTTCCCTGTGTGAGGTGCCAAAGGCAGCACTGGATTCCACTGGATCCTTTCCAGGATCTGGAGATCTTCCACTACTTGTCCTGTGCAGCTCCTAAAACTGAGTAAGAGGGTGTAGTGTTAAATCTCCCCTTTCAAAAAACTAACCAGGAATATTTGGAATGCATTAATTAATGCAGCCCTTGTGTTACAGAGATTATTGGGTGCTGAGCATGGAAGTGCTCCTGGGATATTGAAATTATCCTGTGAAATTGCTACAAACACCTATGACAGGAATTCTCTGTTCTTTTATACTCTCCAAAAGTACATATGTTCCTTCTGTATTTCCTGGGCACTTTGCATATGTCTGAATGTAAATATTTCCTTATATAAAACACCTGTGCCTGGCTGAAGAATAAGGGAATATTTGTGGGGAGGGAAAGGGGTTTTTCCACCCTCTATCAGCCACCTGCCTCCTCATACAGGAAGGAAAATAATTGGCTCATTATAGAGAAGTGAAATTGCTCTTTATTTCCTCAGTGCTGGGTGCTGTAGGAGCTCCCTGGAACCACTCTCTGCAGTTTATTCCCCCCACCTCCCCCTTTTTTTTTTTTTTTTTGCACACTCAGTGAAAACAAGAGGAGAAATGCATGAAAAGTGGGCACTTCCTTCTTTCCTGTCCTCCCCTGGAAAAAAATGAAAAGAATTTCCTGCAAGGAATTGGCTGTATTACGTGAAGGCAAGGGGCAGAAATGTTGGGATTGGGGTATTTTTTTAGGTTTGTCTGTTTTTTAATTATTTTCTAAAGTGGGCTAATTTCCTACTGGTTGCTCTCTTACTGAATCTCATAAAATCAGGATGATTTTTAGTGGAATTTAATAATGAGCACTGTAATTTAATTCTAACTTTATTAGCCCACGAGCTGGTGAAACTGGTAATTGGAAACAGGACTGGGAACACTCTTAGATGGGAAAGATCTTTCAAGTTCAGGTAGAATGAGACTTTCTTTCCTGGCAACAAAATGCCAAACCTGGGATAATCCTTACCTTGCTGTTGGATGCAGATGGTTTTTGTTGTCCCTTTTTTTCTCTTGACTGAGGATCTTGTAGGAAACAGCAGCTCCTGGAGTTGTCCTGCCCTTTAAAACACACTTTTGATACTGAAGCATTAGTTTGTGCCAGCTGAAGATCCCAGAACTTAAAGGGAAGGTTTTGGGAGCAGTTTCCCATCCCAATCTGTCCTGGAAATCCTAATTCAGGAGTAGGAAGGTGAAGGGGAAAGGGAAAAGGCAGGTGACCTCGTGCAACATTTGCATTAATTGGACTAGGAAATCCAATTCCAAATACCCAGGTGGACATTTCCCAGCCTCAGCTGGACACAACAGCAACACCACAGCTCTGCTCCCTGGTAGCAGAAATTAATTAGAAATGTTCTATTAATGTCCAACAGTCAGAGCCCCACGCTGGGTGGCAAAGGCAGAATCCACAGCAGGGGCAGCTCTGACTCCTGTCCCAGCTTCTCCCTGCTCAGTGATCCAGGCAAAACCTGAGCCCAGGGGAAAATCCTGGTGGGAAAACAGAGGGGAGAGATGGAAACCTCCTCAGGAGGTGGGGAGAGAGGGATCCTCCCTTAAGTGCAAACTGATAGAAATTGATTCCTCAGGGACCTGCAGTGAAGCTGCTCTGAAATTGCTGTTTTGGCCTTCCCAGGACTAAAAATCTGTCAGGAAAGTTGCAGCAATTTGGAGCCCAGAAGTAAAAGAATCCCGTGACCCAGATATTGAGTGGAAAAATGAATTACTCACTTGTTTTCTTCTCTTTTTGGACACTTTTATCTTTGGCTGCTTCCCTGGGGGTTGCCAGACATCCCTGAGCTCTGCTCAGCCCACATTCTGGAATTGGGTAACAGCATTTTGGGACGAGAGTGGGAAAAAATAGTGGAAATAAAAGTTTTCCTTTGGGACTACAAAGACTTTTGTACAATTATTTTGTGCCATCTGGAGCTTCTCCCTTCTCCCTGGTGAGCTCAGGAAGCCTCAGGTGTTCACACCAGACTAAATATTTGTTTTAGCTGTGTAGCATCATTTGCAAGCTGTCTAGGGAGCACAAGTAGGGTGGTAGTAGCTACTAGCAGTACTATGGGGAAGTTGTTGCAAACCAGGAGGGAATCTCTTATTGAAAATCCCCAAAAACACAGAATTCTCTGCTCTTTTAAAAAGGCCCTGCTGACTATTGCAGCCTCTCTCACCTGCAGGACTGATGACACACAGGAGTAATCCTGGGTCACTGTAAAAATCCCCAAATTTAGTCAGATTAGGGGTGTTGTAAACCATAGCAGTAACACCTCTTGGGTGGCTTTTCAGCAGTTGGAATCTTAGACTTAAATGTGGTCATTGCACGAGGTGAGAGCCTTCTAACCCTAATTTCATTGCAGTCTCCTTCTTTGATGGTCCTGCATTTCAGAGAGTCAGCTTTCACTACTCTGCCCATGTCCCACTGTCACTCAGGACAGTGTTTGAGGGAATACACAAAAAGGGCAGAAGGGGAAAAGCAGGATTCAGAGAGGAAAGAAATGATCAAAAAGTCTGAGCTCACCCTCTCTGTTTCCTGCACCTCCTTCATGGTGAGATTTGGCTCCACACTGGACTTGCCTCATCCTAAAGCTCCAGGAGGGGATTTTACAGGAACAGAGTGACTAAAGCAATTGTTTACCTGCATTTTCCAGCTCTGTGTAGGTGCCACAGGCAGGTGCTGAGCTGAGGATCTGCTGTGGCTATGAAACTCCACTCACCTTGTACCATTAAACATTTCCTGGGAAAAGTGCTGGCAACAGGAAGGCTCAGGGTTAGATAAATAACACACAAAGGTTTGCTTTGGATCCTGTAAGCAGCCAGAATTGAATTTGAACACCAAGGAAGACTAAAAATCAGTGATGTTGCACTCAAAACCAGGGGATTTCAGAAGGGCCTTCCTTCCTCAGAGCTCCTTGCAGCACATAAGGCTTTAATTCCACTGCTGGCTCCATCTTCTCTCTTCCAGAACATCCCAGAGTCTGGCCACAAGTATTACCTGCAGTTCAGCACTGAGGACTACAGGACTGGGGTGAGTTCCTGCTCTTCCTCCTCAGCCTGGGCATTAAATCCACTCCAGCAGCTCCAAACCAGGGACATTTGTGTCCTAAATGGAAAGACCTGTCTGCTCCTCCCTGCCTGTCTTTGCTCCCAGGCTCACCTGAGTGATCACCAGGCCTCAATCCCAAAGGGAATTCTTGCTGGAGTCATCGAGGCAGCCAAAGGCCTGAGTGGAGCTGTGCAGTGGCCCAGGCTGGGGGACAGTGTGGGCCCCATTCCCCCTCTCTGCTCCCCGTTCTCCTGCTGTCCACCCCCAAAATGGGAATCAGGAGTTGACAGCTCTGTGGTCTTTCCAGTTCCAACACTCTGCCCCAGCTGTCAGCAGCATTTTGCTGTCCTCTTCCTTGGCACACACTCTGTGGAATTAAAATGATTTTCAGAACTTACTGTGAAACCTTAGATTATTTTTGTTTCAAGGCTGGCACAATGAAAGTCTCTGTTATCAATTAATGTTGTTTCTTGAGCTCTCACAAACATATTTCCAAGATGACTTAGAACACTGTCATGTCCTGAAAGCAGGACAAGCATTAATTAAAACCTTCTGTTAAATCCCTTTAGCCTTGTGGTTTTAACCTCTTTCCTGGAAAAAAAAGAAAAATAAAATCCTTCTTGACACTTTCCTAACCCCTGAACAGCTTCATACAAAGAGTGAATTGCTGGTAAATAAAATCTTGATTAAAAAGAACAGTTTTAAACCCTCCCTTGACAGGAAGATGCTGGGAACTGCCTGGCTACAGTGCTGTACCCAAAGAAGAAGTCTCGTCCTGTTGTCAGCATCAAGTGCTCCCACACCAAAGACAAGAAGCAAATCCAGGAAGAGGACAACACATTTTACCAAAGGCTCAGGCACCAAAGCAAACCAATAACTGCAAACAACATTCCAGGTATATTCCTCCAAATATTCACCAGGATTTCACTTTATCTCAAAGGACACAAGCATTTGAAAAGGAGACACATTACTGACAGCAGCACCCCGAGCCCATCCTGCTGTCAGAGCAGCCCCACCTCCCCAGGGATTTTTGGGAGAACAGAGCCCCTCTGGATTTACCACTGGCACTCAGCACCATCCTTGAGGGTGGTTTGGATTTAAAAGCAGCTCCACACCATTTCTAAGTCAAATCAATGCAGACTGTCCTCCAGGAATAACAAGTGCCCAAACCCACACACCTCCCCAGCTGTGGCTGGAAATTCACTGAGGATGACCAACACAATTTTTCCATCCTGGAAAAATCCCATCTTTTCTCCCAGCTGTGCAAATAAATCCATTATTGTGGATTTTTTTGGTTTCTTACCTCATCTTGGGGATCCCTCTCTTGGCAGTGTCAGCTGTGCCACACTTTGCACTCCCCTGGGACTGCAGGTTCAGCACCATTCCCCTCCCTGCTCCCTGTGACACATCAGAGGGAGGAGCCCCATGCAGCAATGGTGCTGTGCCAGGCAAAACTGCTCTGAGCTTCATCATTCTGCTGCCCAGCCAGAATTAATATTATTTTCTCTTTCTCCTTGCCTTGCAGACAGCTATGGCAACATTGAGCCTGCCCTGGAGCCAGTGTGGACTCTGGCTGTGCTTGGCAGCAGCTCCATCATGTGGGAAAAGTCCACAGAGACCTTGGAATACTTCCTGGCCCAAGTGAAGTCCGTGAGGCAGTGGGTGAGTGGGGCAGGAGGGTCAGGGGCAGCACAGAGCCCTGCTCTGAGGGGGATTCCCCAGATCCCAGGGCCTGCTCCTCACCAGCAGCTCCACCTCTGCACCAGCACTTTGGCCAGGTTTTGCTGGGAAAATTTTCCTTACCTGGATCTGCAAGGGTGGCTTCTGCAGGGGCTGCAGTTCCTGAGCCCTGGGGCAGAGCCCAGCAGCCTCTGGCCCGGGCTGTGCTCACACCTGACACCAGCCCGGGCTGGGCAGCAGCTCCAAGGCCTGCAGCACATCCAGCAGCACTTCCAGAGCCCTCAGCCAGCTGGGATCCACGGGCAGGATCCAGGTTTGGCTCCTCAGCTATTCAGCATCTCTCTGAAGGAGAGGTTCATGTAATTCTCAGATGTAATTGAGGGTTAAATTCAATTAATTAGCACCTGGTTTCAGTGCAGACAGGCTGCAGAGCCACACAGCTCTTGGTGTCCTCAAACATTCCATGCAGGAAAGGCTCCTAATTCCCTCTTTCCATAATCAGAACCGAGCTCACTGCAGCCAGCAACCACAGGCACAGGGCCCTGCTCACCTCCTTCCCCGAGCTCCAGTAAATCACAGCAGACATTACATTTTAACAATATAAACCTGTGCTCCTGATAATTCTTTCCCTTTTTTACACCTGCCCAGATCAGGAAAGACGATTTTGTTGAGTTTGACTACACTGTGCTACTGCATGAAATGCCAACCCAGGTAAGGAAGTGCAGGTGAACAAGCCCTCCTGCCAGCAGGAGCTGAGCTGCCTCAGGATGATCAGATGTGTGTTTAAATCCCTTCTCCAGGAAATCATTTCCTGTCACATGCGCCTGACGTGGCTCCCCGGGCAGCCTCTGAAAGTGAAACATTTCTGTGATTCCCACGGTGCAGACCAGGGATCTGGGGCAGAGTCTGGATCAGCTGCTGGCCCTTCTGCTGAAAAGGGAGCCAGTTTTTAAGTGAAATCCTCAGATTTGTGGATGTGGATCCAGTCAGCAAGTCCTTGTGCTGACAGACCTGGAGCTGGGATCATCCTTCCATGCAAGTCAGTGATTGGGAGCGGCTTCACTGATTGTTCTGTGCCAAAATTAATTCCTGTCACTTCTTCAACGGTGAGATTCGAGTTCTGCAGCTCTGCCTGAACCTTCTGCTACTCCATATATACACAGATGAACATACAGCAGTTGATTTGATGTCACTAATTAACTGTTACTTAAGAGTTTGTAAACAAAATTAATATATTTGGATAAAAATCGTGAGCAAAGCGTTAGTCTGTCACGAGGAGAGATCTGCCTACTAATTTTTTGTCATGTTTTGGGCTAGAATCATGCTGATTTTTAACTCACATCTGCAATAAACCAAGTGCCATCACTCAGGGTCGAGGCTGGGTTTTCTTTCTGCTGCTGTTGGAGCCCAATTTTCCACCTTCTCTGTCACCTCGACTCAAACCAGACCTGCAGAGCCAGGGAGGCTCCTTGTGGATGAATCCCCATGTTTGGGAACAGCTCCTGTGTCACTCCTGCCACGTCCTGCCCCACCACAAAGTCATGGCTTCGTCCTGTGCCACCAAATTCTCCAGCTGGCTTCCCAGCAGATCCATCACTGTGCCACCTCTGCTCACTGCCACGTGCCAAACTGTCCCAAAGTCACCTTTTTCCCCCAATGGGCAGGTTTGTGGCAGGATAAATCAAATCCTTCCCAAGAACACCACGTTCCTGAGAGCAGAGGCTCTGGGGTGGCTGCTGTGTTTAACCTGGGGTGGTTTTCACAGTCCTCCAGCTGTAATTGGGAACAGCAATCCAAGGATTTCACACAGCAGCTTTCCCTGCATGTTTTTAGGCTGGGTGATGTCAGCTTCCCAAATTCCAGCATTTTACACAAGTCTGATTTCCTGACTGAAGCTTTTCCCCTCAGCACCCAATAAACTCAGGGAAGCAGCATTCCACACCCTCCTGGTGTTTTCTTTCCTGCAGGAAGAAAACATTTCTCATCATCAGAAGTGTGAAATCAGGGAGTGAAATTCCAAAATTCCTTAAAGAAGCTGGTGATTAAAATAATTTTTTTGGAATTGAGTCAAGAAAATAGGATGGATTTGGCACTTTGGGGCTCTGCTTTTGTCTCCTTACCTTGTTTTTGCCTCTGCTCTGCAGGGCTGGATGAGAGGATCAGGCACTTCCCAGGCAGCAGGGTGCTGGAACTGCCTGCTCACAAACTCACAGCAGTTCAGGAACTCCACAGGAACTTCTGGATAAGCAGCAAAGCTGTGGAATTCTAAGGCAAAGTCTCCCCCAGCTGCTTTTAGGCCAAGGTTCCAGCCTAAAACCTCAAATCATACAGCAAAATTTGGGGTTTGTTTCTTTCCTAGGTTTGTGGAGAACCAGCACATCTGGCAGAACTCATCAGCCAGGAATTGACATCACAACTGGCCTAAACATGATATAAACCCCATAAATAGAAATATAAATCACATCAATAGAAATAAACCTCAGCAACACAAATATAAATCCCAGAAGCACAAATATAAATCCCAGAAGCACAAATATAAACCCCAGAAACACAAATAAAATCACACCCACCCTGGTTCTTGTCCTGTGTTGACACTGCTTTTATCAGACATCTCCACATTTTGGGGAAAGTGCTACATTTGCTTGTTTTAGAAAACTTCCAAATGTCTGAGAACCTGCAGGGCTTTTTTGGAAATGAATTCCAGCTGAGCATTCCCAAAAACAAAGCCATGGATGTGCGGGAATCAGGGATTTGTCCCGAGGCAGCGCCACACGGACACCCCACATCTCGCCTGGGATCCATCAGCAGCTCCAGGCCCTGGCAAATCCTTTCCCAAGGTTTCCATAAATCATTTTCCAGCCTTTCCAGAGGAGAAGCAGCCTGGCTGCTCCACTTGTTTCTGTCTGGGAAGCAGCAACGCCAGTGCTGTGCCAGGAATGTCGCTGGGTTTGAACTGGAACTTCACTCCCTGTTTACTGGAATCTGCAAAAACACTTTTCAGCTGAGCAGGGCAGGAAGGAGGAAAGAAAACTCAACGTGGACATTCTGGGAATAATTACAAATACTGAATTATGGGAATATCTTCTCACCTAACGCCTCTGAGTCAGCAAAGTCAAGTGATTCCTGAGCTGAACATCAGCTGCAACTCAGCCTCTGGATTGCGAGATTCTGGGAAAAGGGATCTTGGGTTTGGGTTTCTAATACCCTCTGGATTGTGAGATTCTGGGAAAAGGGATCTTGGGTTTGGATTTCTAAGCAAGAGCCAAAAGCCAAGGCCATACATGAATCCACACCCCAAGCCCATTAAATCCACATCTCCACAGTAATTCCATCTTGTTCCCAGCTCTGGGAAGAGGCAGCTCCTCCCAACATCCTTGGCAACTCAGCTCCATCCTTGTGCACCAGTGAAAGTGGATTTGGTGACAAGCACTGACTGATGGCTTTGCCCAGTGGCTTGAGACTTTGGAGGATCCTGTGCCATTTCCAAAGGATTTGGAGGGGAAAATTCCATCTGCTCCCTGGAGGGAAGCTGGAGCACCACGTGCCAAGTGATGTCCCACACCCTGTACCTGTCCAGCAGCTCTTATCTCAGTTTAACATTTCCAAATAAAGATGTATCAAATAAAAAATAAAATTATTTTAATAGATCTTGATCAAGACAAATCATCAGCCGTGTTTTAACGTCTACTTGCTACAAGAGCATTTACACAGAGCAATCCCGTGGTGATCCCCTGGTGCTGCTGACACCACCCCAGAGGAAAGGTTCTATGGTAAAATTCCAAGTCCAAATCCCACTGGAGCCCACCTTACCCAGCCAGCCTGGGCTGCTTCCATGGCTTGGAAAAGCGAGCTGTTGGAGAAGACCGGGACAAACTGTTCAGTGGACTCCAGAGGAATCCCATCAGTTCTTGGCTTTGCCCTTTTTGGCAGGAAGTCTCCCCGTTGCTTCCAGGTATTTGTTGATGATTTCCTCCTGAGTGCTGGCTGAACAGGGCTGGTATTTGGAGTATTCCATGGTGTATTCCCCTTTTCCCTGCAGAGTTGGGAAAAGAAAATGAGGATGGGCCATGTGCAACCCTGCTGGGCACACAGCTCCTGTCTGTGAAGGGATCCTCCACAATCCCACCCAAACAAACTCCTCAGGTACAGGAGAATTGTTTGGCCAGCAATTCCACAGCTCTGGTCTGATCTGATCTCATTCCCTGCTGCAGCTGCCGTGGACAGGATGATCCAGTAAGCCCAAATTTACCAGATCAAACATGTTCTAGCAAAAAGGACCAGGAGGACTCACCTCTGTGCAAGACCTCAGCTCCGTGGCATATCCAAACATATCGTTCAGTGGCACCTAGAATCCAAACATATTTACTCAAAATTTCCCATCATTTTTGGGCTATCAGCTAATTAATCCCAATTATGACATAAAGTGCCAGTGCTGCCTGTAAACAGCTCTGATTAGCTGGTCTGCTGTTGTGAAGTATCTGTTACTTTAATTAATTTCTATTTGCAGTGTGTTTTCAGCAAGAAACCTCAACAATCTGAGACTTTGAGTGCACCAGGAACTGGAATATCCTAAATTCAGTGATGAGTCAACCAGCAAGGTTTAAGGTATCTCCAGACATTCCTCCAAGGATAATTTGGGAAGCAGAAGGGCCACAGGGTGTGCTTGTCCTGAGCCCCTCACCCAGCAGGAAAACAACTGATCCTCTCCAATCATTTTTAGGAGGGAGATAAAAGAAAGAACATTGAAATTGAGTCAACCTACAACTGTATCCATAAAAACTGAGGAAAACAACTGAATCAAACACAGGGAAGGGGAAAGGAAAGGGGAGGGAAAGGAGAGGAGCAGGGAGCACAGACCTCAGCATAGAGAGTGAAGTAGCCCTCGGAGCCGTCCTGGCCCGTGATGACGCCGTGGCGCCGGTTGATCCCTGCTATCACTGTCCCCTGGAATTCCACAGGAGCCACCACCTCCACGGCCATGATGGGCTCCAGGATGCGCACGGCAGCGTTCTCCATGGCTGGGGGAAGAATGGAATGAGGAATCCAGCATCAAAGGTGAACCCGGGGCAAGGCGAGCTGCTCTCTGCACAGCAGCAGATGTTTATGGTTAATGTTGGGAACCATGAGCAACACATGGAATTCCAGCTCTTGGCTCTCCTCCTGGAGCCACAATCACAGAATCATTAAGGCTGGAAAAGACCTCCAAGGTCATCAAGACCTTTGGCTTGGCTGATAGCACTGTGCTCACTAAACCCTACTGTGAAATGCCACATCCACACATTGTCTAAGCACCTCCAGGGATTGTCACCCCACCACTCCCAAGGCAGCCCCTTCCAGTGTTCAACCTCTCCTTCAGGGAAGGAATGCTTCCTCAAAAAGGCCCAGTCTGGCCAAATGTTCTCTTCCTACCCTGTAAGGATGAAACTGGTGGTGCTGTACTGAATTCTAGAAAAACAGGATTTCCTTTGTACAGCCACAGGAATTATTGTGCCTCCCTCAGGAATTCTATAAACTCTTGCACATGTTCTGCTCCATAAAACTAGGCAAGCTCTGCAGGGATGAAGGGAGGGATGGAAGGATGGAATGAAGGAAGGAAGCATGGATGGATGGAAGGAGAGAGGGATGGAATAGGTGGGTGGGTGGATGGATGGAATGGGTGGGTAGGTGAATGGATGGATGGATGGATAGAATAGGTGGGTGGATGGGTGGATGGATGGATGGATGGATGGATGGAATAGGTGGGTGGGTGGATGGATGGATAGAATAGGTGGATGGATGGATGGATGGAAGGAATAGGTGGGTGGATGGATGGATGGATGGACGGATGGATGGATGGATGGAATAGGTGGGTGGGTGGGTGAATGGATGGATGGATGGATGGATACCAGCCAGCAGAACCCATCCAGGGAGGAGGCTGTACCTTGTTTCAGGGCTCCCTCTCCTGCCCTGATGAAGGAGATCTCGTTGGAGTCCACCATGTGGTGGGCCCCGTCCTCCAGCACGAAGCGCACCCCGGAGATGCGGTGTCCTGACACCAGACCCTTCTCACAGGCGTCTCGGAAGCCCTGGGAACGACACCTCCCCATCAGCAGCAGAACCTGCAGCCTCTGCACTGCCAGTCTCTGCCACCTCAGTCTGATTGTACAAACAAAAATCACACAACAAGGAAAAACGGCCTCAGGGTTTGCCTTTTTAACAGATGCCATGGCCAAACCCCAAAAGAATGCTCAGTGTGGAAAGAGCTCTTGCCTGGAGAACAAGATTCCTTTAAGACTATGGTTTTTTCAGGATTTGCCAAAAATCTTTAAGTGTTGCAGCATGGAAAAACAAAGGAATAACTGCAGGTTATTACAGGAATTCCAAGA